ATCTATCTATACCCTCCAGATACCCCCAAGCAAATTGCTTCCACTGATACTGGGAAAATAACCATGTGGGAACTGGTGTTTGGAGATATTAAAACAATTCTATAAAGCAGAAGGGTTGATCAGTGATTTATCTGCAGGTAACAATAAATWCTTTCAGATCAAAGTTGAAGGAAGACTCCTATTCTGAAAAAAATGCTCCCCAAATTCTTCATATTGATGTAGTACTGATAAATTAGTGCTACAGCAATATTTACAGACAGAAACTGGGCATGGGTTGGGTATTTAATTATCACTAAACATGTGGATAATGTCTCTGTTGTGATTTTTTTCTTTATATTCTCTTGTCAATATTTGACAGAACTCTGTCAAGTATCAAGCCACCCTTCACACATTTATGCAGCCAAGATAAATGGCTTCTTTTGCTCCCAATTCATTGATACATTAATTACCTACATAAGAAGAACCAAAAACATACACAGAGAATCTGTTGAAATTAAAATAACTMTCATTGCTGGAATGAAAATAGTGGTTGCTACTGGTTTTTTACTGAGCCTACTCCACAGGCTCAAAAAGCTCGGAATTAATTCCGACAAAACCAGATGCAAAGCAACCGTTTCAGAAATATCGTTGATTCCAAGCACAAATAAGGAAATTTCCAGAGAGGAGAAGCCAGAATAGAAGCGATGGGACGTGCTGAACATGGGACACCAGGGAAGGAGACACTGATTTCTGAGAAAGCAAAGCAAGTGAGGATGATAAAGGCTAAGGGGATTATGGAAAGTCCAAAAAGCAAGAGAGGAAAAAGGAAATGGATATTTCAGCCATGGGATAACACCTTGTTAACTCTTCTTAGTGCCTCCAGCCCTCTGCTTGTTGCGGTTTTCGTAACAAGCTCCGCTCTCAATGTTTGTATCACAACTGCTCAAGGATTTCCTTTCCCAACCAATGAGGGTTTTCTGAGAGCCCCAAGACACCCCAAAAGAGCAGCAATCTCTTACAGCAGCCTCATTTTTGAGAGCACAAACGCTGCCTGTTAAAATCAAACACCGTGACACCGGTGACACACACCAGCACAAGGTGCCCGAGCACTCGAGCTCCTCTTGACCCCATTASGATGGGATGAACACGGTGGAGTGGCCAATTATCTCACAACACAACCTGCAAAAAGGATTCGGCTTCCTCRTGGAAACTTTCTTTCCTCCCCTTTRGTGCCAAGTATTTCAAGTTGCARGGGGACATTTYATTTCTTCTTCTTGCCCAAAGGTCAACGGTGGAGAAGAAGCATGAAAATGATCCAACTCTGCAGAGCAGAACGTGGAAATCTTGGAGCTGGTTGGGGGTAAGAGATGATGGGGAGAGAAGGACATTCAGAGGACAAAGAGGAAATTCAAGGGCACAACGGGCACGACAGACACCTCAGTTTCTCTGCTTCAGTTATTAAAATTTCCTAACCTGGCCATCTCGTTTCGCCAAGCAAACTGGAACTGTTCTTCTCTGTAACATGAACTTTCGCTTGAGAAAATCGCTGATTCTGTAGCAAGATTGTTTTTACTAAAACAAAGGAAGATCAAGCAGCTCCCTGTTTTGTGAAATAATGGATAAACTAAATTTATTTAGGGAGGTGCAGAATGAATGAGCGACCAAAGAGTAACCTGACAATGCTCCTAAAGAAAATCCAGAAAATTTTAAAAAATCAAAATTAATTAGAAGTAGGGATTCAACACTACCCTTTAAAAAAACCATAATCCCATRTGATTAGCTACTGTTTAAAGAATAACAACATTATGGCAGCTCATAGAGAAAGTATAGGATTTAAAAGCCTACAAGAACACAGCATGGCACAAAAGCCTTTGTACTCCTTTGACTTTTATTGACCTACAAGTCAGTTTACTCCTCCCCAAGCATTACAACCCCAGGTGAAAAAATCGGAACAAGCCTCCCAGAAATGGAGGAATCCAAGCGGAATGCAATTGTTATCCAGAAATTTATCAGCAACACACAAGGTGATACGCTTAAATCAAATTCCTTTCTTGAAAATATATTCAACTTATACTTCAAGAAGCAGCAAAATTGTTATATATTTAATTAAAATCTGACAACACACAGAAATCCTAATTTTTATACTCCAGYTGTGATTAAAGCATTAATAAATGTATTCATATTTGAATAAAATAKAACTATTTTGTATAGTGTCTTTCACAGTATCTCAAGACCTAAGTAGAGACCTTGGATATGCAATAAAAAAAAATGAAGTTAATCTTTACAGTATTAATAAACTAAATTGATCTGCAGTAYTCAGTCATAGCTGTCTTTAGGAATATAGGAGAAATACAGATTTTAAACACGTATATTAAGAAATATGTACTAGCCACGCTTTCATATGGAAAAGGATTTAAGATTTCCAGTGAATACCTTTAATAATGGTGCTTTCACATCACTCACCCAACACTGAGCAGATAGGTCCTTCAAACCAAGCTACTCGTATGTGATTAAYGCTAATTATTATTTAAATTTTTCGAATAACCCAGCAAATCCACTTTTCATTTCGCGAAGCAAAATGGCCTCCGCTCCTGTTTCATCTCACCTTCGCTGGGACACAAAGCACTCCTAAAAATTACTGCTGTCAAAGATGGTTCCAATTTAACAGGTTTTTGAAAGGCAGTGTTGTTAAATACCCATCAAATGGCTGGGTTATCTTTGTTAAGAGCCTGACAAATGTTTTATTTAAAGACATTGACCGTTAGTCACATCCGATGTCCAAAACACGCCTTTTTTTTAGTATACAGACAAAGATTTTTAAAAAATTATTTAAAATCTGTGCTATAATTGTGTAAGAAACAYCAGTATTGTCTGTTGAGCTCACTGCAAAGGCAGAGGTGGATTCGAATACAAAGACCAGAGGAAGGAACGAAGAGCAATTTGTTTTCCCAAATGGAAAAATCTGCGTCCTTGAAAGCTGGGAGAGTCTCACTAGAATTTAAACAAACAACAGCTCTTCCAGTCAAGCCTTTTCTTCCCTGATTTACATGTCATTCTCATGGCAGCAATGTTCAAATGACTGTACAGAGATATTCAAACCACAAAGAAAAGCTCSGCAAAAAGGCCAAACTCTGCTTTTCAGAGCGTTCACATTCCCCCAATAGCTGTGAAAATTCCCAGCTTTCCACAGAGCACCTGTGGTAGCATCACTGATCTCCCTGYGAACAGAAAGCACAACCAAACTTTGGGCTCCAACCTTTGCCAGAAATGACCCCCAAAGAGCACGAACCAGAGYTGGACTTACAGACACCTCCCATTCTCTGAATTTGCTTAAGAGAGTCCCTTTCCCTTTGTATTCAGAGTTACAGAGCAATGCAGGAMCTGCGATGAGCACTGGTGTGCAGAGAGAATTATTCTAAATAATTCCAAAACTGCCTTTTTTTATAACCTGGGAGGTGCAGCTCTGCCTTTGTCCGCAAAAAATAAAAACACAACAGCAGGTGAGAGGAGGCTACGACTCGGAAAAGACTCGCAAACAGAGCCATAGCTGAGATCAGCCCATCCTGGGCCAAAACAAAAAATGCAAAGATAAAAACCAATCCCTTGAACCATTTGAGTCTTTGTTTGCTCTTACAATACAGCGGGAAATAAAAGGCGAGGTTTAATTTTTTTCAGAGGCCACCTGAGCGTCCCCTTCCCAAGCGCTCTCACAAAGTGTTTCCCGTTTTCCTTGGAAAACCACAATGGTRGGAATGGAGAAATAAGTCCTGGCTTTGCAATATAATCTCTCAACCTCCCCCAAGAAGCCGTTTGCTGTCTCATAGACCTCCTTAAACCAGATTTCGATAGTCTGAGCCGTCCATAGTAAAAAAAAAAACGATTGATTCCAAAAGTAAATTTTCAATTCAGTTTCACTCAGCTACACGGGAGATGCTGGTAAAAGCCACAGCCTACCAGTCTACGGGAAAGTAGAGTGAAAATGCCTCTTAGTCTGAGCCTAACATCTCGTAGGGAAGGTGGTGGTGCGCGGAAAACGTGTCATTAACGATGCTTTACCAAAATCTCCAGTTTTGGTATAAAATAATCCATGCGTGATAAGCAATTCTAACGCAGATTAGGAAAGATTACTTTCTAAAAACTCTTTAAATGAGCAGATCACCTTAGTTTTTTTTTAAATATTACCATTGCAGGCCTTTTTAATAAAGGCTCTTAGGAAAATACACCATGCCATCCTTACAAAATAGATTGAAAAAAAGGCAATAAGATGGTTTTTGAAGTGAAAACTCATAAAGATCATTTTCCATGCTGACAGTGTGCATTTCATCCAGAAGTTTGAAGAGTCAAATGCTACCCCAGCTGGGGGTTATTCTGCCAAATGGCTTCCAACAGTGACCACAGAGATGGAGGATGGGAGGGGTGCGTGCGTGTAGGAAAATAAACGTGATGGTAAGCGACCCCAAACCCACATCATCTTATCAAACATCCGACATACGGCCCCAAACACACAATGCAAATCTAGAATACAAAAACTGAAACAAAAAGAGACGTGAACAAAAGGARATAAAGCCATTTGTGAGTTACCTGCAGAGATTCAAAACAAAAAAAGAGCACACGGACGAAGCAGATATAATTCACATGGATTTGCCCAGGAAGGAGAAAAGGAGGGGTGAGTGTGAGGGCTGGGGGGGGAAAAAAGAACAGATACCTTTTTTTTCTTAAACAAATCCATCATGAAAGAAAATGAGACAAGATTATAAATAGGCCGAGTTATAGCGCACCATGGGATTTTTAATCTGGCTACCTGTGGTTTTTGCAGTTAAAGCCCTATTCAGCAGTGGGAAGGGAGGGGGGAAAGCGGAAAAAAAAAAAAAGAAAAAAAGAAGAAAAACGAAATCACGTTTATGTGCCAGTTTCGCGAACGCTCCCCCAGCGAGCACCACCAACAATGCTGGCAAACAGGAAACACTCATTATCAGCAATTTCTAATAAGCGGCCGCCTTTCAAGCGTTATTGATCATTACCTGGTCGTCTCGTCTCCTGCYTTCTTGACACTCGTGCTCTGCCATGGCAGCGCAGAGCTGTTCCTCCAGTTTCTCGATTTCCAGTTGATGGTCTCGGACCAAGCAGTCCTGCACTCCCTTGTGCTGCTGGAATAGGTGCGTCTTCTCCTCTTCATGCTCCAGCTTCAGCTCCACTATCTGATTGGACAGGGAGGAGTACAGTTCATCAATAGAACATCCTTGTCGTCATGACAACTCGTCTACAGCTTAATTTCCCCCTTAATTTCATCAAGTTGGCAATTTTATTTTTACGTCACTATTACCTCACCTCTTAAAAAGCCACCCGTTAGCGTGACARAATTCCTCCAGACAATCCCAACAATGGAGACAACCGAGCAAATCCAGCGCATCCTTACCCAATTTGTTGGTACAAATGTCGGAACGTACRAAAAAAAAAAATAATATAGGAAAAGGGAAAAAAAGGGAGGCATTGTCGCATTGTGTGGCGGGTGCCCCCGTATCCCGCTGCTGCTCCTCAGCAGGGCTGAGGATCCTAAATGGTTAAATAGACAGCCTGCTCGCCCCTTCGCTTAAGTATACACACACACAACCCCCCACCCCAGCAATTAAAGCTTTGCAAGATTTCTTTATGATTTCCAAAGCGAACGCTCTTCCTGCGATATTCCTCAACGCTGGCGCATGGAGTTGTCCTTTTTTTTTTTTTTTCTCCCCTTAAATGAAAAAAAAAAAAAAAAAAAAAAAAAAAAAAAACCAACAAAACTCAGCAGAAAAAAAAAATAAAAAAAAGGCAAGAAAATTATAAAAAAAAAAAAAATACAACAAAGCTCCATTATCCCGTTGTCGGCTACGCTATCCCAACATAAACAGATGTATGTGTTCCAGAAGGGCACCTGCTGTGCCGCAAGCTTGCACCATGATTTCATAAGAAGCCCTCTATTCTCAGGAGCCGTTCCCAGTCCGCACCACACTGGATGCTGTGACCTTGGCCACTCTTAGCCTCTCCCCGCTTGCCTGAATGGCAGCCCGAGACCAAGGGCCTGGTTTGCCGCAGCTTTGATATTAATCCTCCCGCCTGCGCACAAAGGCACCCTACCTGGCCTGCACACTGGAGCGGCCAGCCCGCCTTTGAAGCAGGTGATGAATAGGGACGGCAGGAAGCCGCTTCCCCACTGAACTCCGGGCCACACAGCTGCTAAGAACAGTCACTTGGATTTTTCTTCAGTTTTGGTGGATTTCGGAGAAGGAGGAGGAGAAGGGGGGAGGGAAGTAAGAAAAAAAACACCAAAAAAAAAAAAAAAAAAGAAATCTCTTATCGTGAACATGGTGGGGTATTTTTCAGCATGAGAAGGGAGGAAAAAAAGAGCGGACGGGAGGAGCCGCTGTGCGAGCGCCGAGAGCGCCCGGCACCTTATCTTAAAGCTGTAGCATTCAATTCTGGAATGATATCAGCTGTTTGCCCGGCTTCCGCGGGGAAAATTTGAAGCGAAGTTTAAATAAATTTCATAAAAAAGGACATTTTCTCAACCTGCAGATCAGCATCTTGCAAGTTTAAAAGGAAGATGTGCCACCCGTGCGGCGGTTGGGAGCGTCCTCCCGCGAGCAAAGCGAGGAGAACGGATGCAATATTGCACGCTTTAGCGTATCTACATTATTTAATAACACTKAAGAGCTCATTAAGAGATGCCTGAAGGCCCTGCAGGGGTTAACCCCTCACATTGTCCATGCTGGGCCCGGGATCCTCACACAAAGTTCTTTACGCCAGGTTTTTGCCCAAGGTTTCCATACTAAACTGGTTTCTCTCGGATGTTCGCGGTGTCCAACCCCTGAGAGAAAGAGTCATTGCTCGCCAAAATAACTGCAGAGCTTTTGCCTGATCCAGGAGAAAAAATGTTTAGTGTTTCTTCACAAATCAGACCTGATTAAAGAGAAATCGTGTCAACAGGAGAGGCCTTTCCCTTCCATCATTTTGTTGTCTTAATTATTGGGTTTTCAGCTGGTGGTGTCATGTGGGTCTGGGGTAATGCTGTTTGCTGGGGCGAGTTTCAATGATTGAGGTTGTCACTTTTTTAACAGAAAACAGGACAGCAGGCAGGGAATGTGACCCAGAGGGGACAGGGGACAGGTCCAGCTTGTCCAACTCTTTACACATTCAACACACCGACCAAAGTCAATAGTCTGATTTAGTAATTTCTTCACTTAAAGCATTTATAGAGACAAAGTTTTGTCATTTAACAGGTGGAACAACAAAAAGATCCTTCAGCAGGTGGGGTGTTCCGCCAGCTGCTCCTTGGGAAAAGAAAGGGTGGTACCATGAGGGGAGGTGTTTTACAAAAGGCAAATCTGTTGAAGAAAAATCAAAAAACCTCCTCAGTTAAAGTCAYATATTCCCCATGATGGTTTTGGTGATATTTTAAGAGATTTCCGCCCAGAAGCAGAGCTGGAGAAACAGAAGAGATAGGATGAGGAGYAGAGTATTTTCATCCCTCAAAGACCTCCAAATCCATCTTTCCTGAACATTAGCAGGTATTCCACATTCCCAACCAACAAAACAACACAAAGTGGCTGAGCAGCCATTCCCTGCACCGGTGAGCACTCCCTGAAGCTCTGCTCTCCTCAGAACTGCTGCCAAGCACTACAGCGTCTTTTCCACTCCTCCCTCTCTCATTCTTGTATTGTTATTGCGTTGGTCTTTTAAGGAAAAAAAAAATAAATTACAGTCTACTAGAAAGCCAGAAAGAGAAAATCCACGCTGCTTTTCGGCAGCACCAGGATTCCTCCATCACAGCAAACTGCATGAAAACTGTATTAATTCTTCATAAACCACACAGATTCCATCTCCTCTTTGAGGCAGAGAGCGCCTTTATGAATGATRTAACAAAACCACCTCCTTCAAAAGGAGCTCTGGCCGCATCTCCCCTCGGCGCTGAGCACTTCATCAGATCACATTCCAGTGTCTGCTCCAGCCCAGCCTCTCAGTGTCCGGCACAAGGCAGGGGTGGGTGCTACACGCTGCAGCCAGACAAGCAACACGAGCTGCACAATGGGCATTAGGGGCGAGGCTGAAAGGAAACATTCATTAAAGAATCGTCTGTGCCCTATTACCATAATCACGGGGCGCTCATTGTGCCTCGGATGTTTCCTCATCTTGTCCTCCCAAAGATGAAAATCTTTGATTCCCTTCCCTGTGCATCTGTTCCCGTCTCTGGCCACAGCCTGGATGCAAAACTGAGCAGGAATGTCTGTCTGAGCCTTTCTTGTCGCTGTTGTTATCAAGAAACACAAATATTTGAAAACTATGATCCCTTCTTGCCTGAATTCTTCATTATTTAATTCTTTCYACACAGRCAGAACCACATTCAAGGCAGCAGCYAACAGGTGATTTATTAATYTGTCACCAGAATTWCACTATTTACCATTTAGCTACACTACTCTTTCAAATTTATCTTCTAACCTGAATTTAAATTTAAATTTCCTTACTCTTGCTGAGAGAAGAATTTTAAGAAACCAAAATTCTGAACAAAGAGCTAAAATAGATTAATCCAAGAACTGTGACAGTCSCTTGTCATTCACCCACAGACACACACAAAAGGTGCCAAACAAATCTGGCAGCATGGCCCGAGCCTGGGACGTGATGAACGCAGGCAGATGGAACTGCWCTCACATTGGGATGTGCTTTAGGACAATTTGCTAAAAAAGAGACAACCTAACCCAGAGCTGAGGTGAAATCTTGCTGTTGTTAGCTCGCCTGAAGAGCAAAGATCAGCAATAAACAGCCTGCTGATGACAGGAGATGTTTTCAGAAGACATATTTTGTGATATAATCAATGCTAGCAAATACCTTTTGAAAGTCCCTAATTTAGACAAGAGCTTCTGCTACCCAGTTTCTGCTTTTACATCACATGCTAAGTTTAGGCTTTTCAATTTTAGAACAATTTCAACTTGTTCTCAAGAACAAGCGCCCCTTTGAAATTCTCTTTAGAGTCCCCAAAGGAGGGAAAGGAAATTAGTTAGCTCACTACCTCTTTGAAAAATGTAACTGCTACAATAAATATTTGACACCGAAGTATGAAAATTCATGTAAATTTATGTCTGCAATTCCAGAAACATTTAAAGTAACACCTATATAAAACACGGTTTTGCAAGGCAGGATGGCTTGGTAAGCCCTGTTTTGGCATGACTGAAGTGAGGCTGGAGAAGCCACCGATGCATGGCACGTGCCATGGCAAAGAACGGGGCTGAGCTCACCCTACAGCACACCCACAGCATGTCTGTGCTAAGGATTTCCATCCTAGGAGCACTGAAAATCAGGTGTTTTCATGACGACCCTGCTCAAAAGCAGTTCCAGCCTCTACCCAGGCAGAGCACAGCACAGGTCATCAGTCCCCAAAAAACAACTCCAGCAAAATSCCTCTCCAGCCTCCTTGTAACAACACATTGGAAATGGAGCTGCATCCCTGGGATTGAATCCCCCTCGGTCCCACCACGAACACCAGGAGCTCCCATCCCCATGCCCATGCCCATGCCCATCCCCATCCCACCCCCATCCCATCCCATCCCACCAAACCCCTGTCAGGCTGCAAACACAAACGTTCCCTTCCCACCCCAGAGCTGCAGTGGCTGCAATCCCCATGTGCAGCAAGCTCTGTGCAGGATTTACTGCATTCTGCAGGATTTACTGCACTCAGCCTTTGTTTGGGGATCCGGGGTGTACTCAAGGACCTTCTCTGAACACAGAGCTTGTGTTTTTTGCCATCGCCTCCCTCTCCCTCCTCCCCTCCAAGTGAATTCTGTTGACTGYACAGGGAGCTGAGCCTTTTAACTCTGAATCACACACGAGTCAGATGCCTGAAGGAGACAGTGCAAACACCCATCTGTCTGCTTTACAATTCTGTAAACAGCAGTGGTACCAGGAGAAGATTTCCACCCACTCTCCACTTGGAGGTTAAACTCGTCTTCTTTTCCCGTTTGTGAGTTTTAGCTATAAAGTAAAAAGTTGGTGGCGATTGAAGAAACTGTTCCTCAGATATTCTGCACAAATGGTATTCATCTGTGTGTTAGGATGGTTCAAAGGAAGCGTTTATGCATCCTAGATTAATTTATTAAATGAAATTTATGCAGCTTGTTGCTGATGACATGAAAAATTTAGAGCTTCTACTAATGTGCTCATTTGGCCTCCTTGCAAGAACAGACTGTGTTTCAATTATCTGGGAGCAGATAAAGAGGAGAGGAACAAAGCTTTTCACAAAGACTTGCTCCTCATAACTATACCTGCACATAAAAATGGATGGTGCATCTCTGAGAATAAATGGCCAGGTTAATGCACAGCTAAGGAATAACTGGAATGCTGGTCTGGCTGAGGAACAGCAGGTTTCAAACAGGTTTGAAAGTGTTTTCTTCACTTGGGTGGGGAACACATTGGGGAAAGAGAAGATGGGAAAATATAGGAAAGGAAGAAGGGAGCCAGAAGAAGAGTTAGRATTTGCTGGAGTTAGTTTGTTCCTCTTAAAGGAACAAAGGTATAGGGACAATGTGAGCTCAAGGTTAAGCTTTTTATCTCTATCAGCGTTAATTACAAAATTAATGTTTTACCTGAGAGAACCTCACTCTTCTTCTTTAAATTAACCTCACCAGAAAGTTATGAAAGACAAAAACATCTACAGAATGTTCTTCCTCTCCCCTGCTCCAGYACGCTGCTAAAATAAAAACAGTTTCCCAACACCACCTCAGACATTGTCCTTGCTGCTGGCAGGTGACATCACAAACACACTTTTTTCACTTTTAACCAGCTATTTTGCACTTCTTTGYCTCACTTTCTTTATTATAAAAGGCACATTTAAGCTCAACCACACCTTTGTCTYGCTCCCAACTTAAAGGCATTGTCTGTTGACTTGTCTTTAGTATGATTTCAAAGTGATTTCGTTAAATACCCAGGAAAATATTTCTGAAGGTGTCTCTTCCTTTTCTATTCACATAAGTAAGACAAGATGACAACTCTTAATTTCTTCACAACTTTTACAGAAGTCAGAACCCAACAATAAATGTCACAAGAAAGGATTTCCTGAGATACAGGGAGATTCTTCAGCTATCATGTAACAACTTTCCACTCTCCTATGGAAGTGTGAATAATTATTTTTAAAGGGAATAAACACAGTTAATGATGGATCAAACCAAAAGGATTATTTATATATTTAGGTTGGCACCTGATCTCAGAGAATGTGGCCATAACTCATCAGGTAACACCATCCTGCTATCACAAAAACTCATCAACTGTGTGTCCTCTCCCTGCTGGGAAAATAAAATTTCCTACACTTTGGCTCTGTTAATCTTACATCTCATTTATTTCACATTCACTAAGTCACAGCACTTCAATAACTGTTTACAGCAAAAAATGGGTGTGACAGTGATCACAGGGATTATTGATGGGTTCGGGGTGTTTTTAAAGGACAAGCTGATGTCATTTAAACATTAGGATACATTAAATTCACTGAAAGTGTTTCATTTGTGACAATTTATGAAAATCTGCTTGAAATAAAGGTGAGTTTGTGCTGGGAAATGTCTCTGGATGAAGCCCTGTCCCACCTCTGCCATGGAACCAGCACTATCCATGAGAGATGTGCTCTCAGAAAGGGATCAACTAACAGAAATATGGGAAAAAAACAGCAAAATCCTTAACTTTTCTGTCAAATGTGCTTAAAATCCATTACTGGAAAGCCTGGACACAT